ATAAAATTACTTCTTGATATACATTTCTTTCTTACACATGTATGAGTTTCACTGGATGTTTCTCTAGCCAATCCTGCCTAGCACATTAATTGTTTGCATCATTTATGGGAAAATATAAATTCATTATTTATAACCTAAGAATCTCCAGGATATATGCACCTCGGGTTTCCCTTTTGGGTTGTTTTAATGTAGCGGTAGATCAAGTTTCCCAAATCAAGCTGAGTTGCATACAGGGAAACTTCAGGTGCGCAGTCCTTCGTTATACTGAACTCTATGATTGGTCAGGCCAGTCAAAATGACTTACATGTATAAATACTTGCTTTGACACTCTGTAAACATTACTATAGTAATGAACAACTTAAAATTAAGTGATAGAATAAGTATATTTCTATCTTTTATACCATTTATGTAACAAATTCTTCAAAATTTAGTTAAGAAATATCTTCTAAAATTTTTCTCTGCTCTTCTGACCCTCTTCCCCTCTCGTTGCACCTAATGGATGTCAATATCATAATGTTGGTTTGGTATATACCTTTCTGCTAGATTTTGAGTCCCTTGAGCATATTAGTCATTATTTATTTATATTTGCACCTTTGTAACAACAAATATACACTATATTCTTCTCCTCTATGGAAACATACTTTGCTGTGTGGAGTTCAAGTGCTGTTGAGTCAGTCTGATCATAAGGACCTTATGTTCAGCAGAATGAACCACTACCAGGCCCTGCACCATCCTCTCAAATGTGATTGAGCCCAGTGCTGCGACCACTGTGTCAATCCATCATACTGAGCAGATTCCTCTTTTGTACTGACCCCCTACTTTACCAAACATGATGTCCTCCTCTCCTCCAGGCCACTGCTGCATTCTGTTGTGCATGGGAGAAATTGAAAGGCTAGAAGATGTGAGCATGGAGAATCCTGTTCTTACCAGACAATAGGGAAAACAGAAAGCTGTTACTGATTTTAGAAAATGGTCTTTTACCTAGAAAATATAGGCAAGGAGACAGACTATTAGGAAGCTCAAACAGTAGGATTTGGCAGAAGTTTTGGAGACTCAAACTGAACCATAGATTCTAAAACACATTTTAGAATCCTGAGGATTTGTGTTCTAATCTCCAATCTCTCCAACCATCTTGCTACCCCTAATTGATTTTTGTTCCCATTCACTGCTTTCCTAAAGTTATCTACTCTTTGAACATGCAACTTCCATTTTGATTTCATCAAGAATAAAAAGAAGAAGAAAAAAGGTTGCTAAGAAAAGAAACCCTTTCATCTACTTACTGCACAGAAGGGACCAAAAAACCAAACCTACTGCCACGGAGTCAATTCTGACACATAACGATGCTATAGAAGGTTCCCAAGTCGGTCATTTTTACAGGCGCAGACGGCCTCTATTTCCCCCACCGAGTGGCTGGTAGGTTTGAAAGATCGCCTTTGTGGTTCGCAGTCCAACTCTTACCAACAATGCCACCAGGTCTCCTATCAGAAGGCCTATTTGTACTTAATCCCCCCCCCCTCCCCCCCCACCATAAGGCAGTGTCCTTAGTTCCTCTCTCCAGGCTAATTTCCTACCAGAGCTCTGAATTCCTATCTCATCCGGAATCTTGTTTCTCTCTGTTTTATGGGTCTCATTTCTAATAACAACTTTATCTCCCATTAAGGCCCTTTGACAACATTCTCTCTCTACATTATCACTTCTTTATCCTCAAAATTCATAAAAGATAAGTTTCGATTAATTAACTCCTTTTCCTGCTACCCACTGATCTAAATCAAAATTAAAATTTTAGATCCCCAACTTTATTTAGGCATCATGACTAAGTTCACTAATGCATTCCTAAGTAATTTATGCATTTTTATCTTTAGTGTCCTAGTATCATATGATAGTTATATCTCACATTCTTCTTTTAATGAAGATTTCCTTTATAAATGAAAGTATATATTTACCAGCTTTTAATAAGCTATTGTCATATGCAATGACCTCATATGAGGTTCAATTCCTTTGCAAGGACATTAAATATTCACTGATTCATCAGGAACTGCAGTGAATATTAGAAATTGCAGGAGTGCTGAGAGGCTCTTATATAAATATCATTAGCCACTCTTGAATAGTATACATGTAAATCAATAGTTATTTTAAAGTTAGTACACTGCAACTTTCATTTGGAGGAATGTTTTGTGCTTCAGTCCATTTTGATAACTGTTTTAACCAGCAAGTATTATCAGACAAATTCCAAGATGCATTCCAATAGGTTCTTCTTCCCAACAGTAATAGTGTTACTGTTTTTGTTAGCTGGATCCTGATTGATGGAGACCCCGTGCACAACAGAATGAAACACTACTGAGTCCAGTTCTACATGATCCCCTTGACTGGTTGCAATCACACATTGGTGATCTATAATGTTTTTACTATCAAATTTTCAGGAGACCAACAGGCATTTTTTCCTAGTCCATCTAATTCTAGAATCTGTACAGAAACCTATAAAACATTATAGAAACAGCCAAGCCTCCAGTGACAGATGAGTGGTAATTGCATATGAGATGCATTCACCAGGAATCAAACTCGGGACTCTCATACTTTGAGATAATTACTTTTGTTTTAAATCACTGGATTATAGGAAATTTTGATGCACAGCAATAGATAACTAAAACAAAACAAAATGAACTCATTCCCAATGAGTTGATTCAGATGCACTGGGACTCTGGAGGTGTAGTTGTTACATAATCTGTTGTCAATTTGAGAGGAGTACAAGTAAAAGGATGGAGTCTAGCCTGTCAATCATTGTATACCCAAGGAGGCCTCTGTGTGGGCATGGCCTTCTCCTGAGGATTCTGGGAATTCCTGTATTTCCTCCTTGGAGGCGGAAGACACACTCTCTCTGCTCACTCCTGCGAGGCAATTCTGAGAGGAAGCTACATGGACCTACCCTGTGAAGCCCTGGGAGCTGAAGGAACCACGTGGAGTCCCCTGCCAGTGCTGAAATGCTTACAATGCCACTAGATCTACAAGAATTCCCACCTAATGGCCTGTGATCTTCCTGCACTTGGCATCATTGCATGTGTTTTGTGAGTCTGAAGAGGACTTTATAGATTGGTATCAGACATATGGGCTAACATGGGACTTATGGGCTTGATCTGGACTGGGGTGGAATGTTTTCTCAATGTTCAATTGCTCTCATATATAAACCTCTTTCTTATACACATAGGAGTGTCAATGGATTTGTTTCTCCAGTCTACCCAGACTAACACAGAAGGACAGAGTAGTGTTGTACCCTAAGGTTTCTGACAGTGTCATCTTCCTCAGATGAAGTAGCTGATAGGTTGGACTTGCTGATCCTGTGGTTAGCCTCCCACTGTGCCACCAGAGCAACTTCATAAATAACCAGTGCAACAGATTTGACTTTTCCACAAAGAAAAATCTCTTTTCTTAGAGTAGTGATGGTTGATGATTCATTTTATATTATTAAATAGTTATAACTTCTTGGATAAAAATGTATTTAGTCCGTTAAAACCACAAGTATTATTCACAGTTATCCATTAAGTACTATCTTCAATCACTTTATAGGCTCCTAAAAAAAATCTAATTTTAAATTTAGGCTTATAAGAGAATGAATATAATACCTAACTCAATTTGTAAACCTTTGACTATATATGCCACCCAGGTTAACAAATGATGCGGGTCTGAGGATATAAAACATGCAAAGAGCGAAGGGTTCAGACAATGATAAAATTAAGCAGTTCATCTAGTCTTGACTCAATGTATGATATTTTTGCCTTGATTTTAGTATGCAGCATTGCTGTGCTTTGCTGAAAGGAAGCCAAGAGACTGTCCTGATGCCCAGCCTCAAGCTTTCAATGATCTGGTCGACCAGGAAAGACATGAATTGACACATCCACAGGAATCCAAATGGTAGATGGACTCCCTGAAACGGAAGACTGGCCTATCCATTTCATTCCCAAAGGGAGTTCGTATCCTCCTCAGGACCAAGGACAATTTGTAAATTCTACTAAGTATATTTAATATTGTAAAATAATAATAAGAAAACACACACACACACAAATAGTTAGAATGCGTTGACAGACACTAAAGATATCTCTCCCAAATATGATAATAAAAATTTTTAATCATCATTAATATGCATTCTGTCATCTCAAGCAAATCTCTCTGGAAAGAAATAGCCTTCTTACACAAAACCAAAAAATAATAAATAAGATAGCTCATTTGTTAGAGTTAGGATCCCAATAGATTCTCCTCTAAAAACTTCAAATTTGCATATGCAGATTCATTGTATTAGGAAAGAGTGCAAGAAGATTTTTATTATATTATTCTGTGATGTGTAAGTAAATCATTTAAAATCAATAATGCTATTTTATGACAAAATGTTATGATGTGTTTGTAAACTTTTTCTTCTTAATTTTTAAAAGATTTATTTGACTTATTTGATTGTTCTCGAGAATATACACAGGAAAGCATAACTAATTCAAGAGTTTTTACATGTACAATTCAGTGGCATTAATTACATTCTTCAAGTGGTCTAATCAATTGCCTCCTGCTTTTCTAAGTGGTTTCTTCCCAATTAACATAAATTTACTATCCTCTAGAGTTCCTATTTAATCTTTTGATTTGCTGTTGTCAAATTGATCAGGTATAGATAGTTATTAAGCGAGCATAATGCTCAAGGCAGGCATTTAACTTTGCTTGTTTGTTTGTTTTAGAGGCTCAGGGTCATTGTTTCCAGGAGACATTTCTTTACTTGACCTAACACCATGTTTAGTGCTTCTGTCCTATGTCCTCCTTCACTGAATAGTGGCAGGGTCTTAAAAGCTTACAGGTGGTCATAAAAGACACAGTTGGTCTCTGTTCACCCAGGGCAAGGGAGAGCGAGTCAGGAATAGGAGGAGGACAGGAAAATGGTGCCAACTAGTGAAAGAGATCTGTTGTGAACCTCTCTTTCCCTTAATTACGATTTCTTTTGAAGGGGTGTGTTAATTTGTCCATCTTACCTATATGCTGTCCGTACATGTGATAAAAGAAGCTGAAACAATATGCACTGTTGGTGGGCCCATAAGGATTTTTGGGAGCTATGCTGAAAACAGGGCTGAGCAGTCGAGCCTTTTCGCCTTCCAGTCGGGGTCGAGATGTCTCAATGTACATATAAAAACCTTTAAAAATAATTGAGGGTTGAAACAACAGTATTATTAGGTAACATGAAAGTTTCAGTCTTTGAGTCTTAGCAAGTTCATAGGAGGCAAGCACTAGTAGAGGAATTTGCATTTCATTCATATAATGTATGTCCACACAGACTTCAAAATATAATCCAAAGAAGAAATGACTTACATAATTAAGGCTACAGTCGCTAAAATATATTTTAAAAATATGAGACAAAATTGAAAATTAAATCATGAATTGTCCCAAACATATTCTTAATCTTTGAATTACATGTCAGGTATATATATATATATATATTTAGATATACCAAATTATTAATACTCTATATACAAATGTAAATGTATTCTCCAGAATCTTAAAATCATGTGTAAATATTGTCATGAATTTCATATTATGAGCGGTTTTCAAATTCCCAGGCTAGTGGACAGTGGCTACAAACACACCCTTCTTCAACTCCTACCTTCTTTGGAGCCGCTTCGATCGGCACTTGGTCCGGTGTTAGGGGTATACTTTGTGTTTCTTGTTGCAGTACTTTGTTTTGTCCAGTCAAAATTATCTGTATCGTCTTGAGCAAATAAACAAATGTTACCATCTTCAAATCCACAGTGAAATTCTCCTGTTAACACAGTAAATTAGTATAAGGATTGCACTCCCCATCTAATGAAGCATTAGAAAGGAATAATAGTGAAAAGGCATCAGAATGACACAAGACAAATACAAAAGTACAAATTTGACTCTGAACATAAACCTATTCCAATTCCAATGAAGAAGAAGAACTGGGATATGTAAATCCATCCCCTACTGAATAATTTGTCACCAATCACTTTCCCCTAAATATCAGGACAACTGAAATTAATCAGATTCGTGTTTGAATTATGGCTGTAAAACTTTCACGACTTTCACGTTGGAGTTATAGAAAGAATCATAACAACACTGTCAATTGAAATGATCCTTATGAAAGCAGAGTGGGTTAAACATTGAACTAGTAACAGAAACGTGTGGGGTTCAAGCTGGTCAGTTGCTCAGTGGGAGGAAGACAGGCTGTCTGCTCCTTCAGAGTCTCTGAAGCCCACAGGGACAGTGTGACTCTGGTTTACAGGGTCCCTGTGTGTCACCGTCAACTCAATGGCAGTGGGTTAACAACATTGAAAGGAGGATTCCTTGAATTTATAATTTTTCACACCTTTTCTAAAAATGCTTTCACATATACTCACTTGCACAAGCAGAAGTTTACACAGTGAGATAACAGAAAGTTATTTTATAAAATAATGCATACGTAACTTCTTTTAATAAGCATTTGCCAGATGATTGCAATTTATGTGCAATGAAAGAAAATTGAGAAAATATATCAAGTCCCATGAAAGGACTAGGGTTTCTTGGCTGCTCACTACATGCCTACCACAAATTCAGAGATAGTTTTCTTCAACTACTCCTGAAAGTAGCTGCTATGCTTCTAAGGATAGAAAGGTGACCTCAGTGGGACCTATTTCACTGGAATAAATAAAAAAGTTGATTAACATCCATAACAGGCAAAACTTGAACCCTATATATCTGCAATTGTGAAAAATATTAAATATAATTTGTATTATTTCAAAGCACTTCATAACAATTTTGTCAAATCATTGTAATCCTAGTTCATGAGTCACAAAGGGAAAAAATATTTGGCAGAGATAAACTAATAAATGGAAAGTCAACGCTGAATTCAGATTAGTACAAATTAATCTGAACTCTAATGATGTAGCGGACTACTTGTTGGGCTGCTAACCTCAAGATCAGCCATTCTAAACCACCAGACATCCACGGGAGCTATTGGCAGCCTGCTACTGCCATAAAGAGTTACCTCTAGGAAAATCGCAGGGGCAGTTCCCTCGCTCTGAGGCAACAACGACTAGATGGCAGTGAGAGAATTAATAACATATATAAAAAAGTACAGGGAAAAAAAAAAAAGTACAGGGACCTGATTTGAGTCCCATTCCTCTCCTTCAAATTAGTTAGATGTATTTCATTTCCTCCAGAGCCCTGGTGGCGTTATGGTACCCTTTGGGCTGCAGATGTCAGCAGTGGGAAAACACCACTGGTTCTGCAGGAGAAAGACAAGATTTTCTGCTCCCTAAAGAAAATCTTCTAGAATTGATTCTGGTGGCAATGGGACAACTCTTCTTGACATGATTGAATTGCTGAATTGTAGGACATGTGGATGAAATGCCAATAAAATTGGTAAAAATATAAAGTTGCCATTCTACCCAATGAATATAGGCTCCCTAATATTCAGAATTGGCTAGATGGCAATGATCTATGATTTCATTATTTTATTTTATTTTTGTATCCCATATTCTTAGGAATAGGAGCTTTAGGGCTGGGATCATGTCTCTGCACTAATTCGAAACAATTGGCACTTAGAAATGTAAAGAAAACAGAATTCTTTACCTTATAAAGCCTTCCTTTCACATTTTGAGTTTGTTTCTGTTTATATTCTGCAATCTAGTAAGATGCAGCTGCAGGAATATAACCTTTCAAGAAACTCTAAACCAGTACATTTATGGATAAACACTATTCCATGTGAGGTAGTTAGTTTATTGTGCCAACCTGGCCGATAAACATAGGTGGGGTTAATTGAAAGGCAGAGGGATAAATGGCTCCGTGAGTCTTGACTTTCGAGTTCTCAGGTCTCTTGCTTTGTGATGGTTGGACCAGGGTGCAGCTGCCTTAGCCAGTTCCCTGCTTCAGCTGGCAAGACTCACTTCCTGCAAGACATCCCTGAGGAGAAGCCGCGTGGACCTACCCCGAGGCAGCTCTGGGTGCTGGAGCAGCCGTGTGGAGACCCCTGCCAGTGCTGACATGCTTCCACGCTCACTGATTCGACTTTGCTCCTGCAGTCGGCATAATTGCGTGTGTTTTGTGAGATGGAGGAGGACTTTGTGGTTTGGTGTCAGACATGGGTTAATGTTGGACTTGTGGGTTTGAGCAGCACTGGGTTGGGATGTTTTCTTGATGTGCACTTAACCTTTATATAAAACTCTCTCCTATACATGAGTTTCTGTGGATTTGTTTCTCTAAAGTACCCAGACTAACACACCATGTAAAGGGTTCATTAGTTACATATTTATCACATCTGTCATGTAATAAGTCAGCTCATGATCCACTGATGCTATCAACTAAAGATATAAATTTGGTGAAACCAGGCTGGTTATAATATGTGTATGGATATGGTAATGTCTTTTAGACACAATATAAGATTTCATTAGTTGCTACTCTGAAGTTATGACAATCCCCTAAGGGCACTGTTTGATTTAAAATATTTTCAGTTTTAAATTATAGATAATTTGTACACTAATAACATTGAAAAATAAACTTAAAGGGTTAATATTTTAACCCTTGAATTTTATTAAATATTATGTTTTAAGTACTTGTTTTAAAATTAAGTATAGTAATTTTAAATTTAGCCTACTTAAAAAATGTTTATTTTTTTAATGAAAAACAAATATTACCTGAGAATAACAAGGTACTTTTCTGTATATCTACATTTCTAAGTAGAATCTACTCAATTTACAGTTTAAAACAATCTAAAAAAGGTTAGTCATGCCTAAGATTTTTCATAATTTGGCTTATTTGATATGTGACAGGTAAACTGTTGACAATATACTGAGAGGTGAAAAATAGTTCAATTTATTAAAATCAGACAAAGGAGTATACCAATCTAAGTCATTTTTCATTAATTTGTGGTATTTGTAGTTTTACAGTGAGGAAACATTATTTAAAACATTTTGTGAAAATTTGGCAGGTAAATTTTTTAAAATTTAAGGACTACAATAATATTATGATTGGCTGGTTATTTTATATGAGCTCATTAGAAGCCTCTTAAAATCAAATTTCATGAAATGTTTATTGGAATAAAGAATTTTTTACAGGTAAAGAAAATGCATGGATTGATATAGTTATCAAAATTCAATGTAAAATTAGAAACTGTAATAAAGAAATAGAAAAGTTTAATGTTAAAAATGTACACAAAGATAAAAAACTGAAGATTTAGTTTGTCTTGAGGTTTTTCACTAGTTTTCTAAAATACATCAGTTTGGCTGATTATCAGGACTCCATTAAAATAAAAATATTTCAAATAATCTGTAATATATGGTTTCCAAAATTTTGCTTGATTTTCCCCCCAAATAGGAAATTATAATTCAGGTGAAAAAAAAACAAAAACAGCTCTATTGCTCATGCCCCTTTGTTTTTTGCTCACTTACTCTCTCATTTGTTCTGTGAA